ATTTTTATGAAGACATTTGAGTCTGTGAGTCCTAAAGAATAAACCCTTTTGAATAAATTCCAGGGGATGCTAAGGACACTAACAAATAGAGACACATACACAGCTATTCCATACGAAATAGGAACTCAATAAAGCAATAACTTATCATATATAGCAGCAGCTATGCTACAAAGAATCACAATCCATCATACATGTTAGCATCATTTGAAGAATAATGAGCTCACTTCCTCCTCGCAAAGGAGGGAAATCTAGGTGCTAATTCCACTCACTATTAAAGAAAAATTCAAATACAGATATAGTTACAGAGACACTGACATAGATGACACATATACATATAATGGTGTAGATATAGGGGCCCAGAGAGATAGCTCAGTGGACTAAGAGTCTGCTTAGGCCAGCACAGGGACTGGAGTTTGATCCACTGAACCACATGCCATCCCACCCCCAGGCACACTGAGCCAGCCACCAAGTCCAGGTGTGGTGGCGCACACGTGTAATCCCAACACTGAGGAGGCTGAAAACATGAGAAGGATCACTATGAGTCCAAGCTGCATAGCAAGACCCTGTACCAAATAAGTAAAGATTGTTTTAAAGTTTATAAAAAGGTATAGATATAGCTATATCCTTAGCTATTTTAGTGCCAAAGTTTTCTGTGTCCCTATAACAGAGACCAAATCATTATGATGCTATTATGGATGAAATGATTGGCATTAATAATCCCATTTCTAGTAGGAAACACTCCAGCCATGTTGTGTAACTTGTTGAAAGTTTCAGTGCTAACATGGGATAGAGCTCACACAGATCACAATTGAGGAAGGCTTTCTCCTAAAGCTAGGTTTTCTAATAGTGTCTCTGGTGTCACTGCACAGCCCAAGCTCTGTCCATTAATTGCCCTATTTGAAGAATTAACTGTCTTGGTCATTTGCCTTCATGAGTCCAGTCTTAGGGAGGGAGAGCCATGTGTGGGTCCCTGTGGGGTGAAGCCCACCTGCCCCACTGCCTGCAGAATCTTTCATAGTGTCTCACCTAGTCCTTGTCCTGTTGAAGCCACTCTTGCCCATCCCAAACAAGGCATGGAGAGTGACAGCAGAGTGGATTTGCCCTGTTGCCATCCACTGCTAGCCTTCTACTATTTATCCACCTTCCAAAGTTAATGAACCCAGCTATGAAGGAGCTGAGGGGAAAAAAAAGCCAGAAAACAGTAAGGTCCAGTTGTCCTTTTTTTTCAGTTGTCGCCCTTTTCCCTGTAGAAAAATAATCAAAGCACTCCAGCCAGTTTCCCAAGGAAAGTCAGCTTGGTGACTTCCTTTACCACCCCCAACCCCAGCCCCTCCCTCTGTGCTTGAGCAAGACTGGGAATGTATGGTAAGTGACCTGTGGGAGCACTTTGGGGCTCTTAATTGTCCCTTTGTATCTTCTGCATACTGTATATTACCAAAATGTGTCAGTATTAAGTTGTATTCTCAAAATGTCAACTCACCTTGAGGGAACAAGGATGGAACTGGTGATGGTGCCAGTGAGGGCAAGCTGAAACCCTCGCTCTCTGGAGTGTCTGTCTTTTCTTTTTTGCCCTGGATTGATAGGACTCTGGTAAAACGAACCAATGAGTAAATGAAGGAGCAAAGCAGTTAGTGATTGCATTAGAAATCAGACAAAGAGGTATATGAGTATGAAAATGTAAAGAAAATATAAAATAAGAAAGATTTATTGATTTAACATAGGCCACATTTGCAAATTGGATTGGACACAAGGAGCATAAGGAGAAACTTACTTCAGGTAGGTAGATGGAAGTATGCATAGATAGAGAGACAGAGATAGATAGATGACAGATAGATGGGCAGATGTATGGCAAGGGAAATAATGCCTAACTAATGCGTAGGCCATCAGTCTTTACCTGACATCTTCTAGGACATCAGTGAAATGAAAGCCATCTGGGAAGAACTTTAGTAATAGACTATACACAGGAGACACAGTCCTCTCTTTTGTTCTTCGGGCTGTGCTGGAAGCCCATGGCTTCTATTACTGTAGCTCTGACATGGTTTCTTTTTCTTCCTATGAACATCAGACCCACCTCAAAGTGCCCATATTAGTTGTTCCTAAAACATTTCATTATGGAATGATAACTTTGCTTATTTTATCAATGTTTGTCTATACTGGTAGGAGCATATTTAAAGCTTCAGGTAAATTATTTAGTAATATCATCATGGTTACGAGGGAAATCTAGTGGCATTCATTTTGGGAAACTTAAACATGTAACCCTGCTTCAGAGAAAGACTGAGGAGGAAACAAACAAACAGGGAAACATTGAGGATGCCGGCTACCAATAGACCAGTTTTAGGACATGTAAGGTTTGTCAGATTATTTACCCATAATTCAGTTGGATAATGTAACAGTTATTTCCTTTTTAGGGCTAGAAAGCCTTGAGGGATACTTAAAACCAAGCCCACTCTTGCTCTGTTCTTTTCCCAGTATGTTGGAATTGAACTATGAAGTGAAGGGATTTGTGTGAAGGGACTTACTGATGGTAGAAGAACTGCCACCAACTGCTCAAGAAAAGTCACTGTCTTTTTTTTTTTTTTTTTTTTTGCTAAATTACAGCAACAGCCCCAGCACTCCCTAGGAAGGCTAAGTCATAGTGGTTCATTCCAGCATACTGCTTGTCACCACTATCTGAAAGCGAGGCCTTAAGTTCTTTCTTTAGCTCACAGACCTTAGTTTCCCATTTGTATGAACTTAAAAGGGGGGAAGCGGGAAGAAACCGCATGATTTCTCTGCTAGGTTTCTTTTCAGCTCTGAGCGTCTGTGAAGAGTAATGAAGCAATTATGTGGGTAAGAGTCTCAGATGACCAGAGCTTTTCAGGTCTTCCTATTTCCTCCTTTGCTTTATTTGTGAGGAAGTTCAGAATTAAATTGCATGTCCAATTGAACTAAATGTTTTGGCCCACGTTATTGTAACAGTGTCTGAGGCAGTCTAGATCGTTCCTCCCAATTTTATATTTATGGTTGCTATTTCCTGTCATCAGCGCTGTAGTCCAGGCTACTGGTAGGGCTGACATGCTTTTGTTGCCACTGGTGCTGTTCTAGCTGATGACAACATTGAGCTTCCGAAAAGTTAAAGCTTGCCCAAACTCACTGTTGTCAGAAATAGGTTCCAAATACTGCTTTCTCAGCCTCAAAAACCCGAATTCCCGTCTTATGTTTTTGCTTTCAGGTCTCTCCTGTTTTGCTTCACTCTGGTGTAGAGGTTCTTATCTCTGTTTATTCTACCACACAACTTTCTGAATATTTTGCAAAGTATATGGAATGACCAATAAATGAAAAATGTCAGTTCAGTGCACTGCACATATACTATAGAGCTCATAATTATGCCTTTGTTGCTGACATCATATTTTTCATTATTTATTATGTGTCTTACTTTCAGAATGATACTATAGACATTTGAAAAACTATTCAAGCTAGTGTTTCTCCTGTGAAGAAGTGGATTCCGTAGCTAGAACCGCAGGCTTTGATGCTAGAGGCCCTCAACTCACATCCGTGCTTAGTCACTTTTCATGTAGTCCTGGGACACCTACCTACTTCTCAATGACATTTTCCTCTTTTATTTATTTATTTATTTATTTATTTATTTATTTTTTTTGTGTGTGTGTTTTTTAGTAAGGGT